AAAATCTGCCAAAGATAGTCCTGGTAAACACCCCGTGCTTTTAGTTGAGAACCCAAAGGCCTACACCCCAGGATTAATGATAAAGCTGAAAACATCCAGCCTTCAATGGGACTGAGGCCCAGCCTCTAATCATTTCAACTCTTGATTGCATTAAGATTAAAACTTGCTCCTAGTACAGCAGCCTGCCTGAAACAAAAGTAAACCCTCTCCACTTTGAAGAAATGGTTGACTCTAGAACTGTAGCATGAAATATACAGAAAGAGGCTGAATATGTAGTGTCAGAAAGTAAGGAAGTACTAAAAACAACAATAATAAACAAAGCACATGATGCCGGAGTTATGTCAACAGGACACAGGAGCCACTGAAAGAGCTCCCAATGGCCAAAGCTGGAATGATGTGAGCAACAAAATAAAGTAGCACTGGATTATAACCCACAGTTTAAAATATTCATAAGTCCATAGTGATACAAATAAATGACCAACTAAATAAATGAAAATAGACAAATCTCTTATACAGAATTCCAAATGATTCATGCAGACATTTTGCACTTAAGGAGACAGAACATAACTTCCCACTCCTTAGGTGTGGGTTCTGCATAGTGATTTTCTCCCAAAGGGGACAGTATGGAAAAATGAGGAAAAAATGAGTAACATTATAGTGTAGAAACCTGACAAACACCACTTCGAGGTTAATCAAGTTAACCTCAGTTAATACCAACAGTAATAAGTTATGCAGACAGTATGCACCCTTAATCTTACGTGATGAAAAAGAAACTTTACCTCTGTGATCTTCCTCCCCAAAACATATTACCCCAGTGTAATCACAAGAAAACATCATATTTGAGAGAAGTTCCACAAAATACCTGAGATTTCTCAAAACTGATAAGATCATCAAAAAGGAAAGTATGAGAACTGCCATAGTTAAGAGGAGTCTTAGGAAATATGACTACTAAATGTAATGTAGTATCCTCGATAGGTTCCTAGAACACAAGAAGGACATTAGATAAAACCTAAGAAAATCCAAATAAACATGATCTTTAATTGATAATGTTATCAACATTGGCTCATTCATTTTAACAAATGTACCATACTTATGTAAGATGTTAATAACAGGGGTCTGTAATTATCTTTAAAAATGTATTTTAAAAAAGTAAACCCTCTCATGGGGAAGATATCAAAGCTTCAAATTATCTCTAAGATTTTTTAATGTACAAAGTCTAGCACACAACCCAAAATAATTAGGCATATAACACAAAATCAAGAGGAAAAAAAAACAGAAAAAAGTAACATACAGGAGATCCACAGACGATAGCATTATCCAACAAGCACATCAAAATAATTACAATTAATATTTTTTCAGTTTTTTAAATGTGTTTCTTCTTTTGTGATTAATATTTTTAAGGAACTAAAAGGAAAGATGGTGAATTCAGGCAGAAAATGGGAAATTATATAAAACAATTAAATAGAAATTCTAGAACTAATTATGCAATAATCAAAGTTAAGAATTCAATGATGGGCTTAACAGCAGATTAGAGAATTGAAGAGAAAATTAAAGCTTAAGTGACATATAAAACAGAGAGAAAAAGATCCAGCATTTATATAATTGTATTCTTAGGAGAAAAAAGTTTCCAAGCTAATATTTGAAGACAGTGGTTGAAAATTTTCCAGAATTGATGAAAGACACCAAGCTGCCATGAACACTGACTTAAAACAAAAACATTAATAAAATGTTTGAAGGCTGGCAAAAAAGACTGTGTGAGTGTGCATGTGTATGCACTTGGGGTGGGAGGACTACACTTTTATTATCCACAGTGGTAGGTTACTAGACAATACCTAAAACTAAAATAATAAAGAAATAGTGTTCCAAACATAGTATTCAGGGGTATGAAGTTAAATATCAGAACTAAATACAGTAAGCGGTAACACTGTGGAGATCTCCAGCTTATTCCTATCGGACGAATGAGGAGAGAAGACCAATCTATGGTTATGCTAGTTGGTGCTCATAACTTCAGCTACAATTTCAATGACATTATATACACAAACGAAAAGTTCTGTATCTTTGGAAAATTACTTTTGGTGCTTCATAAAATGGTTCTAATGTTGAAGAAGACACAGATGACCAAAATCCATGTAAATATTTTTGAATAGTTTCATGCACTCTGACACTGGGGCTAAAAAGCATTGTTTTAAAATTTAATGTGATTTCCAATATAAAATATGTAATAAAATTAACTAAATATCAGTAAGTGGATATTTGACTCTCATCTATGTCATGAAAGCACGTTATCCACTTGAAAAAAAGTCTGAAGCAGGGGGAAATGTCACACTGGGAAAATTAAGGGCTCCCTTTGTATTCAGTGTTCCTTATACTCATGCAAATATAACACAGCTGACCTTTGAAAAATGCAGGAGTTGGGGGTACCAAATCCCACCCCCACTCCCACCCTCCACAGTCAAAAATCCAAGTATAACTTTTTTTCAAGTATAACTTTTTTTTTTTTTTTCCTTTTTGTCTTTTTTCGTGACCGGCAACGGATCGCAACTCTCAGTGTCACGCCCGTACCGGACCGGGACTGGCAACGGGATCGCAACCCTCGGCGCCGCGCCCGCACCTCGCTCAGCCAGTGAGCGGCCGGTCTGTATGTGGGATCCGAACCCTCGGTGGGAGCGCCGTTGCGCCCCCAAGCAGCGCACTGTAGCAGTGCGCCACCGGGCCGGCCCTCAAGTATAACTTTTGACTCCCCCCAAACTTAGTAATAGCCAACTATTGACTAGAGGCCTTACCAATAACATAAACAGTCAATTAACACAATTTTGTATGTTATATGTATTATATACTGTATTCACACAATAAAGTAAGCTAGAGAAAAGAAAATGTTATCAGAGAAACCTTAAAGAAGAGAAAATACATTTACAATACTGTACTGTATTTATTGATATCATCATCTGTTTAGAAGATGAAACCTCTGTCACTATCTACATCAATATTGTCTTATATAATACAAAACACTAAAGATGTTAGATGTTTTACTAACACTACACATCAAAAATTAAGATAACGTAAAAAAGAAGTTCATGAGGTCTACAGCTGGTGTAGTGGCAGGAATGTCTTCACAAATTTCTTTTTCTTGTTTTACAATGGTCCTTACACTGGATTTATTTATCTTGAAATGGCGGGCAACCACAGCTGCAGACCTCTACCTAAGGTACATGTCGCGCAATTCAACTTGTTTTGTAATGCCACGATTTTTTCTGCTTCTTGGGAGCACTTCCAGCATTACTAGTGGCACTTTGTATAAGTCCCATAGTGTTATCCAAGGTTTATGTACTGCACTAAACACAATGAAAAATACACAAGAACCACAAGAGATCATTTTTTACTGCAGCATGCAATTTGCTGAAGAGAAGAACTGTGTTCAAGCACAAATCATTAGCATCACACAGCACTTTAAGTGTATATTTGCAACACTTGTGCTCGCCCAATAGCAACAAATTGTACTACAGTTAATTTTATGCAGTTATAATACTGCATCTTTATATTTGCTTACATTTCTCTCAACTGCAAATGGTACCATACATGGTCTGAGTGTTGCCTCCATAAAATTTGATAAAGTTTAACTTTTTAAAATAGATTTGTAAATATTTTATGGTAGTAAATAATAAAATAAATTAGTATCTACATATATTTTATGCATTCGTGACATGCCTAACTTTTTCTTAATTTTTTTCATATTTCTAGGTTACACAGTTCATCTGCAGTTTTCAAATTGTCGCAAATCTCCAAAAAAATTTCCAATATATTTATTGAAGAAAATCCATACAGAAGTGGACCCATCCAGTTCAAACCCATGTTCAAGGGTCAACCTTATATTTTTAAATTACAAGATTAAAAACAGAAATTCAAGTAAAACTGAATGTAGTCCAGCAACAGACCAAATATATGCAAGCTTTTAGTGCATAATATAGTTGTCATTCTGAATCAATGAGAATGAGATGAATTATTCAGTAATTGTCATTGGGTCAACTGGACAGGAAATTGGAAAAAAAAAAAATCACCCCCTGCCTCACTTATCATGATAGGTTATCCATTTAATGTAACAATTGAAAGTAAATTGAACCACAAAAATCAAGTCTAAAATTACCTGAAACTTAATTGTGAAGGGTAAAACAAATCTTTAAGAAGAAAAATATGACCAAGGGGTAGATAAAAATTTCTTAAACAGGACACAAATAACACTAACTTTGAAGGAAAAAGAAGTATTCATGTGTACACACATAGGCACATTATGTCCCTGAAGGAGATATAAGCTAAGAAGTCATTGTATCTTTAAGAATAGAGTTGGGAGGCAAGAGTAAAATTTTATCTTTTGAATTTTGTGCCATGTGCATACATCACCTACTTAAATTTATAAAATTTGCAAAAATTAGGTAAAATAAGATTTTTCAGGTGAACAAATAAAGTTGGCAATACATACTTAAAATGTAAAGAAAAACTTTTAAAATTTTATTTTAAGGATATAATTAGAGATTTGGACAAAAATTCAGCTAGAAGAATAATTCCTGATGCATTTTTTTAAAATCATTTTTTATTGGAACACAGTTGATAGTATATATCTGTGGGGTACAGCATTGAATATCAATACCTGTGTGCAATATGAGCTGACACATTCTATGAACAGAAGAAAGGCAATGAAAGTGCATTTAACTTGGAACCCAACTCACTGGTACGGAGATATCTCTATTCCATATAACATAAACCAAATATTTTCACAACACTGAATTTAAAATGTACACAGGGTGGGAAGAAGAGGAGGCTCTATGCCTCACCAAACTCAGCTATTATTTCAGGTAGTAAGAGTTAAGGACAGTGTCTTCTGGGAGAAATGGAAACCAATACCCTGACCAAGACTGTTAATCAGAAGATTTGCAAAAGAAAAGAACTTATAAGTCCCTAAACAGCAAGATGGCCTTTCATGGAGAAAAAAGGAAATACCAACTAACCTGGAGCATGGCTTTCGCTAGTTCAACAGTCATTTTTTACTTCTCTTCCTGGTCTGTCTCTTCGAGAACAGCAGTGTCCTGGAAGGGCAAGACTGGAGGAAGAGAAAGTATAGTTGAGAGATGAGGCCTTTCCTGAACTCCCAGAATTACCAGACTAAAAACCCTGTATTCCCTTTCTTCCTCCCAGCCTTCTTTGGTTACGCATCGACATAACTGGGTGATTATGGGCAATCTATGGCCACTGAGGGGGTGTAACTTTAACTGCCTCTCTTATACTTGGTGTACTAAATTTAATCTTTTTTCCTAAAGCTGCCTTCACATTCTTTGGTCTTATTATGAATAAAAATAATAAGATTTGTACTGGGTACTCTAAATAGATTATATTTTCACTTTATTTTTGAAATAACTCTGGAAAATAGTTATTTCTTCTGTTTCATAGGTAAAGATGAATTCGTTTCCTTCCTGGGCCTCTGCTTCATGTTTTGACACAAATCTACATTTTTGAAAAACTGACTCATAAACGCCACCAGAGGCCAGACTTATCCTCCTCTTCCACCCAAACCCAGGGTCTTTAGTCTCACCCTGGAACAACAGAAACTTTAGCACTCAATTCCGCCACCTTCATTCTCACTTCTGTCCTCAATCTCTTGGTGTCCCCCCTTCTGTCACCCAGAATTGAGGGCATTTCCTGCTCCAGTCAGGAGCTACATTCACCCCCGCTCTTGTTTCTTAGTGAAATATTTGGACTCGAGGTAGGGAATTCTATTCCAGGATTCTTATCCCAGCAACACACAATTCAAAACAGACACATACATAAAGAATCCAGTGCTAAAGCTCTTCCAAGTAGTCTCCACATACATACCACAGTCACGCAGGGGCACAATTATAAGCATACAGGGTGACACAGAAACACTAAAACAAGATCTCACTTATTAATTGATCACACGGAGGACATAATCACAAGCACCCTAAGGAAGGCACATCACACACAGTCCTATATAACATGATCTCAGTGAGGCCATCTGCATAAGCACACATGGTGATTCACAAACATCTTCACACATACCCCCAATCTTATTCTCTCACACACGCCCATTGCTCACTGCCCCTCACCTCACATGCACATGCTCCACAACCTCAGAGGCTATAATTGCAAAGCTTTCCTGGTGACACGCCATGGTTTACATAGTCAATCTCTTTCTCACCCACTTTGGTCTCATATACAACCACATCACTAGTCTTCTTCACTCTCTCTCACATATACACACACACTCAATGATCTCTCTCAGAGATACACTGATTTCTCAAACACTTTAGTCTCTCTCTCACACACAGAGACACAAAAACACACCCTGGCCTCTCGCGTTCCAATTACTTTCTCTCACATACACAGGTCTCTCTCACACAGAATACATACTGTTTTCTCACTCCAGTCTCTCTCTCTCATACTCCAATACACACACCCTCACACAATTTCACAGGCCAGGTACACATACTCCAGTCTCACATGCCCTCTGGTCTCTCTCACACTCACTGAACTCTCACAGCCCAGTCTCATGCTGTCACTCTCTCACACGCAGACCCCACCATCATCTCTCCCAGTCAGTTGTCTCTGGGGAGCCTCACAGACTTGCTGATCTTTCACACAGGTGCATCCATTTCGCTCACACAGACTGACATGGTCTCATACTCTGGATTCTCACAGTCCAGTCTCTGACAAATACACACTAACTATATAGAGGAAAAACACAGTTTCTCCTACTCTCACAACACAGAACACTTCTGACCCTAGCAACAATCAGTTATGCAGCAGACACCTATGTGTCCTCCAACTCAACTCAATTCTGACACTATCTACCTGGATAGCATCAGATCCCACAGGATGAGGGCTCAGTCCCACAAGACTGCCCCCCACTTTCTATACCCAGGTTGTTTTACCTGTGCTTTTCACAGAACTCATGAAAACCTTTACGTTTACCAGCTTTTTTTAAAGGATGTCACAAAGGATACGGATGAATAGATGCACAGGGTGGGGTTATGTGGGCAGCGGCAAGGGTGTGCCATCCTCCAGGAGTCTCTACCTATTCAGCTTTCCTGAAGCTCCCCGAACCCAATCCTTTTGGATTTTTGTGGAAAATTCCTTACACAGGCAGGATTGATTAAATCTTTGGCCACTGGTGATCAATTTAACCTCCAGCCCCTCTCCTCTCCCTGGAGGTTGAGGAGGTGCGCTAAAAGTCCCAATCCTATAATCTCGCCTACGTCTTTCAACTGACAGCCCCCCCATTCTGAAGATACCTAGGGGTGCCTGCCAAGGTCACTTATTAGCATACAAAAGACACCTACTTGGAGAGTGCAAGGATTTCAGAAGTTGTATGCCAGGAAACGAAGACGAAGACCCAATACGTACTTCACAATATCACACACAAATTTCTTTCATATACTCTGGCTGTCTCCCTCTCTCACACACTCACACCCACACACCCTGGTCTCACTCTCTGGACTGTCGCAATCCATTTCTGTCTATCTCTCACACACACCCCGGCCTCTCACGCAGCCTCACATACTCACTCGTCTTTCACACACAGGTACACACCCGTCTCTCACACACAACCCGCTCCAGCTGTGCCACACGCCGGAACCTTCGTAGCCGCGGACCGAAAGACAAGCGCCGCACGGACCTCTGGGAAATGTAGTCGGGCCGGGGATGGCGGTTGCGGCTGGTACTACCAGGCCGAGTCAGAGCGACCTACGTCGCCTGCCAGTCGGCCCTCGGGATCCGACTCCCGGACCACCCAGAGCAACCCACCGACCTCGTCCGGAAGCGTGACGCTCTCACCCGAAGGACTTTGGCAGTTAACGGCGGATCTCCCCGCGCGCAGGCGCGGGCCTTGACCCAAGGGGCGAGGAAGGGGGAGGAGTCCGGCGCGAGGGGCGGGGAAGAGGCGTGGCTTAGGGGAGAGAAGATCGTTCTTAGGCGGCTCTGTTGAGTGGAAGCAGAGACCCTAACGTCAGAGCGGGCGCGCCTGCGTGCGTACGGGATTATGCAAGAAGGGCGTGGCCTGACGAGTAAGGGCGGGAGTGTGCGCAGGTGCGCAAATTGTGCTGTTCCGAAGCCCCTTGCCTGGAGCCCAGAAGCGTCTCTAGTTACGGTCCTAGTGTCTCAGGGAGAACGCTGCGGCTGAGCACTCGGTGGGCTTACGTGTATGACTTTTGTGATGCTGTCTGTGTCCTTGTGACCGCGCTGTCATTCGGAGCGCGGCTCTCTGTGCCTGTACGTAAAGTGTGATTTTCCTTCTGTGCTATGCTTTTCGGCCGTAAGAACAGCGACTCGAAACCCCGACTGTGTTGTGACTCCAGAAAATCAGTACATTTGTCACCTGCAAGATGGGAATGTTACTATTAGCGTTAAGAGGCAGCGAATAAGACAACATCTTTGGAACCAGACTGTTAGGTAGTATTGAACCCCGTTCTGCCCCTTACTAGAGTGGAAATGGTCCCTGTGGAGGGACTAAGGATACTGTAGAATTAGTACCGGTATTAGAAGTTGAAGCAAATAAGGAAAAGCCATACAGGGGGATACAGCAGAGAACAAAACAAAATTATTTGCCATCTTAGAAAGAAGTGGCTGGAGACCACGAATGAATGAGTAAAATAAATAGTATAACAATGGTGAAAACAGCTATGGAGCAGCTGTGTTGTATATTTTTCTACATTATGTGTATTATGATGTTTTAAGATCCTAAAAAAACCTTTGTGCAACAGACACCAGCTGGGTGTCCTCTAAGTTCTGATACTATCTACCTGGACATAGTGTCCACGTGTGGAGGGACCAGTCTCACAAGACTTTTCCCGACTTCCAGTGCTAATCAAAAGCCCCTGGTTGTTTTATCTGTGCTTCTGACAGGCTATAAATGAGGGTTCCCACAGCCCCCTCCTTGGGTTCAATTTGATCAACTCAACCTTTAGCCTCTCACCCCACCCCAGAGGGTGGGGTTGGGGCTGTAAATTCCAACCCTTTGAGCATAATGTTGGTTTCCCTGGCAACCAGCTCCCCATCGGGTGGTTATCTAGGGACTTTCCAAAAATCATCTCATTAACATAAACTCAGGTGTGGTTGAAAAGGGTTTGTTATAACAAAAGACTCTTTCACCTTTATCTCTCTGGAGCTATTCTTGAGCTATTTCAGAAACCAAGGACAAAAGGCCAAATATTTTAAGAAAACGTACTCTTATTGTTCTAGTCACTTAGGAAATTACAAGGGTTATTGAATCTGTGAGGAACAAAACCAAAAAATATACTTATTTAGTCTGGTTTTGGTGCTATAACAGAATACTGAGACTGGGTAATTTATAGAGAACAGAGGTTTACTTGGCTTATGATTCTGGACAGCTGCATCTGGCTCGCGCTTCAAGCTGCCTCTACTCATGTCTGAGAAGGGCAGAGAGCCAGAAGGGCATGTGGCCAGAGGAAGGAAGAGAGAGAGGGGGGAGGTGCCAGGATATTTTAAGCAACCAGCTCTGGCAGGAACAAATAGAGCAAGAACTCACTCACTACCCCCACCCCTAGGGAGAGCATTAATCCGTTCATGAGGGATCCGCCCCCAAGACTCAAACAGCTTCCAACACTGCCACATTGGGGATCAGATTTCTACATGAGTTCTGGGAGGACAGTACATCCAAACTCCATCATATACGTTCTAATATCATGTGTGGGTTTTAAAATGTATGTAGCCCCTTCTGCACTGAGCCAGGGCCTGGGCCTGGAATTGGCCATGCCCTCATCAGACACCTCACCACCATGGACACCCCCTCAAAGTCAGCAAGATTTGGGTCTTCGTGAAAATATGTAAGCAGGATCCAAGCATTTTGCACACCAAGGAAATATGCTTCCTGAAAGAGATGTTGTAGAGTATGGGGGGTAAAATACCACCTGCTACTCATAAGGCCAAATAAGAAGATACCAAAGAAAATACCAAAAAACAAAAAGACGTAGTAAAAATGTTGAGGAAAACAAAGACAGATGAACCATCAAGTGCAGAAAGTGACCTAGAAATTAATAATGAAGGTGTGATTGAACCAGACTCTTATGCCCCCCGAAAAATGGGAGATGAAAATGTACCAGCCATCCACCAAAAAAGAAAGAAAGAAACCAGGAGACGATGGATCCGACAAATGATATGACAAAGAAAATAGCACTGGTCCGGTTAAGGCACCTAAAGTAAAGCCAAGAAGCTGCTTCAGCGTGAGCTTTAGGCACATCTTAGCTAGGAACACTGAACTTTTGCACTCAGCCACATTGTTTTTGCACTTAGCCATATTACTTGCATTCAGCCAATCATAGAAGCCAAGCTTTGGACAATCACAGGCTGCCAACCAATCACACCACGCCCAAATAAGGCAAATGCTGAGTCTGCGGCCAAACAGGTTACTTCTGTATGTCACCTCTTTTTTCTATGGCTATCAATATGACTTGCACATTTCATATTTATATGTGGTGGGGTGGAAGACTCTGAATCATACTGCTGCCCGATTCTAGAATTGTTTATCAAAATTTCAAACAAACTTTCATTGTTTATCCTCAACCAGCTGGTTATTTTACTTTGGTTGACAATAAAATGACTGCCGTTGAAGTCCTAAATGGTGGTAAACTCCAGAAAGCCATTGATTGTTTACAGATGCCATCGCACTGAATCCTCACTTTGTCATTGTGTATGCCAAGAGAGCTAATGTCTTCATCAAATTACAGAAGCCAAATGCTGCCCTCCAAGACTGTGATAGAGCAGTTGAAATAAATCCTAATTTAGCTCAGCATTAGAAGTTGTGAGGGAAAGCTCACAGACTTCTGGGCCATTGGGAAGAAGCAGCCCATGATCTTGCCCTTGCCTGTAAACTGGATTATGATGAAGATGCTAGTGTAAGGCTGAATGAAGTTCAGTCAAGGGCCCAGAAAATTGCGGAACATTGGAGAATGTATTAAAGAAAATGTGTATAGCAAGAAATTAAAGAAAGAATAGAAAGGGCTAAGAAGGCTGGAGAAGAGCAGGAAGAAGCTAGAGAACAATCAGAAGAAAGGAAGAAGAGAAAGGAAGAAGCCAGAGAACAATCAGAAACTCAGTGGCTCTTTTCCAGGTGACATTCCTGGAGGAATGTTTGGAATGGGAGGGGCATGCCTGGAATGGCAGCAATGCCTGTACTCAATGAAATTCCTAGTGATCAAGATATTCTTGCAGTCATGCAGGATCCAAAAGTGGGCTTTGTGGACCTGAAAAGAAGCTGAGGCATGGCTTGAACAACAAAGTTTACTTAAGCAAAATTTGGGTGACTGCAGCCCAGGAAACACCTCCAAGTTACCTTGGGAAGTCCTATGAGTTACAAACAGAGCTCCAGCATTTCACAAAAAGGGAAGGCAAAAGGAGAGGAGGGACAACCCCCCTAATCAGGCTTTGCATTGGTTGTCTAACATGACATGAGTTAGTGATTGGTTAATGATTACATCTTGCTCTTTAAAAAATTGCTCTGTCCATAAGTAAGGGTCACATTGAGATAGAATAAGGAGGGGACTCATCCCCTGAACTCAGCCCTTTACCCCTGTTTTCAAAGAATCCAGTACACCCAGCTAAGTAAGCTATATTCATAAACTACAATAAGCAATTTTTTAACCACAAATTTCCTCCAGGTAGTTAGCTGTTTTAGTCTGTTTTGTGTTGCTATAACAGAATACCTGAGACTGGGTAATTTATAAATTTGGCTTATGATTCCAGGACAGCTGCATTCTGGTGAGGGCCTCAGGCTGCTTCTGTTTATGGTAGAAAGTGGCAGGGAGCTGGCAGGTACAAGCAGAACACATGTTGAGAGGAAGCAAGAGAGAGGAAGAGGAGGTGCCAGGGTCTTTTTAAACAACGGATTCTTGTGGGAACTAATAGAGTGAGAACTCACTCATTAATCCCCCACCCACAGAGAGAGCATTAATCCATTCATGAGGGATATGCCACCAAGAGTCAATCAGTTTCCAACACTGCCACATTGGGAATCAAATTTCCACATGAGTTTTGGGGGGACAACACATCCAAACTCCATCATTAGCCCAACTCTTGCATGTGCACAAAGCTTCCAACAGGCCATTACAATGGCCCTCTTGGGGTGGCAGTGATGAGCAACACCACTTGGACCAAAGCCCTAACTGAGCATGTGCCCATGCCACAACCAGGAAGAACAGAGTCACCACCTCCATAGTTGCAGAATGAAGATGGTGGCCTGCACTCTTTGCCCTATAAGGAACCCTGAAAAGCTCCTCTTGGGGAACTAGCTATCTTCCCTATAGCTATCTCCCTTACACATAAGCTCTCTTCTCTTTAAATGTTATTTGCTTTGCAGCTGGGTACATTGTTTATTTCTGTGACTTTGAGACATAAGAACCTGGTATGGTAACAACATCATATATTTCAACATTCTTAGGTTAATTTTATAGCTCTATGAGGTAACACCATGTTTGGACTCTACGTCCAAAGTAATTTGTTTAGCAGGCTGTGGGGGACATGACTAGTGCCACATACCTAATCTCCTAGGGGCTTGGGAATTTAGCTGACCTCTATTATTGATGTCA